AGAGAATGTTCCTCTTTATAGCCGCTTTAATATGGCTGTTAATGAAGACTGGCCAGTTTAGCAGAGCAATGAGGAGTCACGTCTACTCTGTAAAAACCAGCAGAGAGAGGAGAACGCACCAAAAACACCATGAGCAGAAATACACTACAGAAATCTACTGAACATGGATGAAGAAGTAGAGGAGAATAGTGGAAATCACTGTTTACAAATCAATAACAATAATTATTATTAAGTTAGTATTACCAATAGCAATTTGTATTCAAAAACAACATTATTACTAACAAAAGTATACTACTTTTTAATAATAATAATAAATCTTTTAAACTGCTAACTGACACTGACATTTAAGAATTATTCTGAATATACATAACATATTTAATTGTTTTTTAAATTTGTATTTAATAATAATAATATTAATAATAATAATATAAAATAATAAAATTACACATTTGAATTAATGATGCATATTATGACTATTATTCATTTCAATGATTATTATTATTATCAAAATAAAATTTTTTATATTTTATAATTTTATATTATTTTTTTAAAAATCTGTATTTTAAAATAATAATAATAAAAATGTAAGAATATTTTTCATTCTCTAAAAGCATTCTCTAAAAGCAAACATGTAAGCTAAAAAATTAAAGATACTATGCGGTGTGTGTGTGTAAGATGAGCAGCCTGCACAAGAACAACACTATGAGAAAGCTATGCTGAAGAATAACTGAATATGTAAAGCCATGATTATATACATTAAATACTCATATGAAGCTATATGTGTCAGAAGCATTAGAGTGATTATCATATTAAGTTAATATGCCATCATGACAATTTATGTAAACCATTATTACCATACTAGGATTTAGCAAAGGCTACACTGGAAAGTAAACCTAAACCTGAGTCAGATGGCAGAGAGGCAAGAATATAACAGATACATGTGAAAGGACCATATATGTGTGAAATATGCTGAGCAAAAACATTAGAAAGTGAAACTCCATGTATAAAGCAGGACCACAGAAAACAAACTCTTCAGATTGTCCAGGGGAGACTTCAGGTTGTCCTAAAGGGATGTTTTCAGACATCTCTGCTTTATTTTGTTTAGTCTATCTTATAGTATAAGTCTGTCTTTTGGTATTAAAAACCTCTTGTCTGATTTGTCATTGATAAATAAAAAGGTTGGCAACTACGACAATATAAAAATTAATAAAAATCATTCATTTTAATCAATGAATGCATATGATTATTATTATTATTATAAAATAATCACAATAGTAAATACCAAAATTAATATACGTACCATTTAATTGCATTTAAAAAATCTATTTTATAATAATAATAATTATATAAACTATACATTTAAAATGTGTATTATAATTATTAATTTTGATAATTAAAAAATTATATAAAATTATTATTTATAACAATAATTATAAATATCAAAATTAATAAAAAAGTATACATTTGAATGACTGAATGCATTATTATTATTATTATTAGTGATGATGATTTCTTTCAAACTTCTGACTAAAAGCTAAAAAGCATAAATTTGATTCAATGAATGCATATGGGCGAAGCAGTGGCGCAGTAGGTAGTGCTGTCGCCTCACAGCAAGAAGGTCGCTGGTTCGAACCTCGACTCAGTTGGCGTTTCTGTGTGGATGCATGTTCTTTCTGCGTTCGCGTGGGTTTCCTCCGGGTGCTCCGGTTTCCCCCACATTCCAAAGACATGCGGTACAGGTGAATTGGGTATGCTAAATTGTCTGTAGTGTGTGTGTGTGTGTGTGTTTCTCAGGGATGGGTTGCGGCTGAAAGGGCATTCGCTGCGTAAAAACGTGCTGGAAAAGTTGGCGGTTCATTCCGCTGTGGTGACCCTGGATTAATAAAGGGACTAAGCCGACAAGAAAATGAATGAATGCATATGATTATTGTTAATTATTGTTAATTATTATTATTATAAATATAATTATTATTATAATTCTAAATATTATTATTATTATATCTATTTATAATAAAAATATACATTTGAATTCATATGATTGTGAAAATGATTATTATTATTAATTAATAGTGATGATTCCTTTCAAACTGCTGTCTGACACATTTAATTTACATTAATTTAATAATCTTAATGTATATAAAACATTTTTTTCAAATATCTATTTTATGTATAGACAAAAATATTATTATTATTATACATATCAAAATAAATAAGAATATACATTTAAATGAATGAATGCATAGTATTATTATTAATACTACAATTGTTATTATTATTATAAATGATAATAATAATTTCATTTATTACTAAAAATGCTAGCTGCCGCAAAAATAAAAATAATAATAATAATAATAATTAATACATCATTATAAAATGTAATCCTTATCAATTCTATTTACGATAATGATAATGTTGAATAATTGAGCTGGGTCCTTTGTTCAATGAGATCTATAAGTATATTTATTGATGCTGTTTGAAGTAGTAATATTTGTGCATTGATCTAAAAGTTTTTGTTGTTGCTGCAGAGAATTTCGTTTATATATTATTCAGCATTTTATTTTTACTGGTCAGTTTTGAGAAAAGAAAAGCTCAAGCACGATTTTGTCTGTTCACATGGCGAGTTTACATATTTGGCTCAGCGATGCGCAGACTTCAGAAAGCTGACTGATTTCTCCTGGACGTCAAAACTGGAGCAGCCGATGAAATATTCACAGGCAGTGCAACTCCACAAAATCTGGGGAGGCCTTTCTGAAAACCCTACGCCCCTACTCATCATTTTTTTCTGGATGTTTCACAGCCCACAACCACAGACCGTCAGCCATAATACACACACACACAGCAATGCTATTCTCCTAAAGAAATGCTACAGATGGAAATGATGGAAATAGTATTTCTAGCAAGATCATAATCATAGTCATCTTATATATATATATATATATTATTATATCAAAATATATATTATTAAATATTATGTCAAATATGCAAATACGTAACTTATATTAGTAATACTTGTAATGACTATTATTGTTAAATATCATGAGTTAAATATTATTCAACTCATCTTCTGATGGCTACTTCCAGCACGGTAATGCACCATGTCATAAAGCGTGAACCATCTCAGACTGGTTTCTTGAACATGACAATGAGTTCACTGTACTCAAATGGCCTCCACGGTCACCAGATCTCAATCCAATAGAGAACCTTTGGGATGTGGTGGAACGGGAGATTTGTATGATGCATGTGCAGCTGACAAATCTGCAACAACTGCTTGATGCTATCATGTCAGTATGGACCAAAATCTCTGGTACCGGAAGATACTAGTAGCTTGTTGAATCTATGCCACGAAGGATTAAGGCAGTTCTGATAGGGATCCAACCCGGTACTAGTCAGGTGTACCTAATAAAGTGGCCAGTGAAAGTATTTATATAAAGTAAATGTATTACTACATGGAATAATTTGTGAATTAATAATAAATATTTACATCTCATAATAAATCATGAACAGATAATATCATAGTTTTATGATGATCATTATAACAACATTTATATTATTGTTATAGATAATAATTAGTATCTACATGTATGTAAATGTAGGTGTTTGAAATTGCAAAAAACAACAACAGCAACACAATGCCATCAGTAAGACCATGATCATCATTATTTTATTTTCATTATCATAATATAGTATTAAATATTTAGCAAAATATGGAAATACTTAAACTATACTAGGAATATTTAAATTTATCATTATATATATTGATTTAATTGTTATTATAAATTTATTACTACATATTATAGTAGTAATACAATTGAAAATAGATCAATTAAATAATTATAATGATTATAATGCAAGTTTTTAAATTGTTATAGATTTTAATTATTATACATGTATATTTATTATTTTGTAACAAACAGCCTCTAGCACCCATTAGCTTTGCATAAGGCTTTTGCATAAATGTTATTACTATTATTATTATTAATCTTGTTATTATCTTTATCATCATCATTACTACTACTGCTACTACTAAATTTAGCATTATTCATTTATAATAATATTTATAAATGCATAATGCATTTTAGCAATTGTATTTATATAACGTAAATGTATACATTATTTATGTAATGTATTTCTCTTTACTTCAGTTTTGTAGAATATTCCTGTCATGATCAACAACGACCTAACCTTCATAGATCGCTGGAGAACATTCACATTTACACGGACTACCATCCTGTCTCAATGAACTACAAGTCCTTTCATGCAACACACACACACACCTGTTTCCATTGATTACACTCACACAGCTGAAGCTGCTCAAATACTGATTACACACACACACACACACACACACACACACACATACTTGTTTTTGTGCCCCATGGGGACTTGTGACTAGAAGGTTACATATGGGGACAGCAATTTCTAAATAAAATTAAGCCATAATTTCAACTCATATGTGTCCAGGGGATTTTTTTATCATAAAAACAATAATTTTTTATCAAGAATTCTGAAGTTTAAAAAAATGAATTTTTGTCAGGTTTTTCTATTCTTGTGGGGACGTCGCTATTTTGTCTTACCACAAGGAACCACCAGGTGTCAATATGACATACCAGTATATTATCATATTTTTATAATAAGTCACTGTAAGACTACAAATTACATTTAGACAACTATTAAAGAGTTATTTATAGGGGAAAATTGTGTGCATTTATATTTTATTGAATTTTACTTTTATCTTGCATTCTCTGTTTATTCTATGTTATATTACAATAGACCATTTCTAAGGGTGTAAACAGAAAAAAGTCTTAGCTTTTTTAATAAAATAAAATGTTTATCCTGCTCAGTTGTACACATATGTTGTTTTAATGTGCATTTAAATAATGTATGAGCATCTTGGCATTCTATCAAGCATTTTTTTTATTAGATATTCTGCGATACGCATAAAAATTAACGGAGACATAGCCAAATTTACGAGAATGTAAAAACTCAATACAACTCGGAAGTGTTTTAGTGTTTTAAACATTTATTTAAATGTTAACGTGAAAGTTTTAGTATACTGCTCTTTAAGCAGATGCATGTTGAGTTTTCTTAAACAAGATTCACATACATGTTGCCTTTAACAAAGACAAAACTGGTGAAGGCTCTTTTACATTTTTTTGCTTTAACGAAATCAAACTTGTTGCTTTCAACAATCATGAAAAAAAAACAGTGGTGAAGGCCCTTTCACCTACCTTTCACATTTTTTTTAAGTAATATATTTTCTTTCTTCCGGCAAACACGAAAAAAATAATTAGATGAAGGTCCTTACCTTTCACAATTTTTTCTTTAGGGAATCAATGCGATTTTTTACATAAAATTTCACCCCCTCCCAACTTCTATTTTGAAGTGCTGCTGGGGAACTTTCGATACAGTTCATGCACTGGGCTTTACCAGGAACCTTTCCAGACATTATGAATTCCATCATTGTCTTCTCCACGGCCTTGATCTCCTCCACAGACCACCTTCTTCGCTCGTTTTGTGAAGATCCTGAATAAAATTTAAAACATAATTAGTGAAAAAAAGACTTAAAGACCAAATAAAACTAATTCATGGTCTTCAGTGTGTCTCATTGTTTTTAAAGTTGTATACACATTTTTGCTAAAATTTAGTTGATGGCTGACAATCTGTCATGTTTACATCACCCAGCAATAAAAGGAAAAAAATGCTTGCAATTAGTCACCATGTAAGTTTAACTATTCTCATAAATTACAGCAAGATGTCTAAAATTTTTAGTTATTAGTTATTTGTGAGCTTCTGCATGCAGGCCACTTTTCATATGCTAACGAATATGTCATGCTATCAAAAATCAGATAATTTCAGAAACTGATTTTTATTTGTTTACATTCAAATCAGTTAAGCAGCTGCAAAGAAAACCACATTTACATACGATTCTAAGGTTTGACAGATCAAAAGCAGTAGCTAAAAAATGACTAATTATGACTTTTTTACTGTACTGTACCTGCAAATGCAGCACTTTTTTGTGATTCTGCATCAACTTTGTGAGTCAACAACATGATTTAAGGCTTTAATTAAACAGTATATGTAATATTACTGCTGCCCCTATATAAAAGTGCCCGCAGTATGGAGCAGGCAGTATTGATTGAATTCATGGATAATGACTAGAAGGAAATCCGTTTGTGACGTCTACCTTGCATGTACATGAATAAACTTTAGAAGAAAAACAGAAAGGGCAACTTATTTCAGAAGACATTTTAAAAAACAGCTTACTCTTTGTTCTGTGCGGTTCCTGCAAGTCCTTGCTAGTCGGCTGCAGTTTTTTAGGATTCTTGCCTCCTACAAACATACGAGTACAACTGAGAACATTATTCAGTAATGGCACAGAATACCTACTAAGTAAATTACCAGTAAATGTGTCACACATGTATTTAAGAAAATATTAGCAGTCGAAACAAAACATATTTTCACTTTATCCTCAGGATATAAAAATATATAATATAGAACATATAGATTAGAAAAATAATGAAAGCAAGTAAAGGGCAAATCATAAAAGCAGTGCACAGAATGAATTTTATTCACAATTATAACAACGTCAGAAGTTTTTAAAGCATCTTTTTTATTTAAATCTCATTACCTTTGGATGGTTCTTGGTGTTGTCCAACCTCAGCAGACTTCTTTGATTTCTCTGAAAAACAATACATCTCTTTTAGCACAAGATTTTTCAATAATAACTCCTAAATACCAATATCAGACCGTTGTCACAGCCACCTCCCCAACCTGAATCCCAGTACACCTGACCACAGTTCCCTAATAACTGATTAATTACACCCCTCATCAGTTTCCTTTATAAGCAATTACTCTGCACTTACCCATTGCTACTTACCTGTTATTGTCAACACATTTGTTCATTTCGCTAACCAATCCTTCAAAGCTTTCAGTATGGCCACAGAAGCACTCTCGACCTCCAAACATTTATTCTGTTTCCACCCAGGTTCATCCACCATTGGCAATTTCACTCACCAGACTTTGACAGTAGCTAGTGGGTGGAACGAGACCGTGCTCATTAGAACCTATCAACAAAGCTTGAACCCAAACATTCGTTCTGCTATTATGATGTACAACACCATTGAGTAATGGTGTCTACCTATTGCCTATTCCAATCACTATCTGCTTGCCATATCTCCAACGCCACTCACGAGCTTGCCTCCTATGCTGCCTGTACTCCGGTACCAGATCTCTTGCAAGTGTACCTTACCCACGTCTCAAGCACAGAAGCTGAATGCCACCTACCTGCTAAAGTATGTTTATTCTGCGCTGCCCCTGGACATTTATTCATAGACTGCCTCATCAAGCCCCACGTCCAGTGTTGAATCCTGATACCCAAATCATGTCAGTGGTCGCATCAGAGTATTCTGCATTACAGGATGTCTTTAGTAAATGGGCAACCCCTTATCTTCCATCTCATCAGACATGGGACTGCACTATCCAGCTGCTGCCTAGAGCACAAGGCTATGGAGGAGTGTGTGGAGGACTTAATCATCAATCTCACTGCCTGCTTCCAGGTTCTTCTTTGTGGGCAAAAACAATGGAAGTCTCCATTATTGCATTACATTTACATTTTACATTTAGTCATTTAGCAGATGCTTTTATCCAAAGCGACTTACAAATGAGGACAAGGAAGCAACTTACACAACTATAAGAGCAACAGTGAATAAGTGCTGTAGGCAAGTTTCAGGTCTGTAAAGAAAGTATAAGAAGCAAGAACATTAGTAATTTTTTTTTTAATTAGTGGAGGAGCCAGAGAGGCAATTGCAGATTAGTAAGGAAGGTGGAGACTAAATAGTTGAGTTTTTAGTGGTTTCTTGATGACAGCGAGTGACTCTGCTGTTCTGATGCAGTTAGGGAGTTCATTCCACCAACTGGGCAGATTGAATGCGAGAGCTCGGGAAAGTGATTTCTTTCCTCTTTGGGATGGAACCACGAGGCGACGTTCATTCACAGAACGCAAGTTTCTGGAGGGCACATAGATCTGCAGGAGTGAGAGCAGATAAGAAGGAGCAAAGCCAGAGGTCGCTTTGTAAGCAAACATCAGAGCTTTGAATTTGATGCGAGCAGCAACTGGCAGCCAGTGCAAACAGATGAGCAGTGGAGTGACATGTGCTCTTTTAGCTTCATTAAAGACCACTCGTGCTGCTGCATTCTGAAGCAGCTGAAGAGCATTAAATACCACACACTGAACTCCCAGGTAGTCCAGTTGCCTTACTTACCGACTGGAAGATGTAAAAGACAGCTTTCGTCAACCCTTTTGGTACTGCAAGTACCAGGTCATGCTGTATGTACTCCCCATCTTCCCAGCCATCTTTCATTATGCAAGGTGTTTTGTGAGTTCCTCCATTGTTTTGTTATTGTCTATATTGAAGACATCCTGATTAACTCCCTTAACTTGGCCAAATAGTGCCAGCACATCACAGCGGTCTTATAACATCTTTGCCTACAAACCCTTCTGTGCACAGATGACAACCTACTGGGACACCCAGGCAGTAGAAGACCCTCTGGCTCCTGCAAGCTTGGTATTGGTGGCACAGTGAATGCCAGTGGCCAAAGATGTCATCAGCTCCATCCGTCCCCAACATCACATAAGAGTATCAGGAGCCTCCTCTGGAGAAGACTGTAATCTCAGGCAGTCACCACAGCCACCTTCCCCACCTGAATCCTAATCAATCCGATCAAAATCCCCTGCTTACATTTTTATTGCACCTCTGCGCTCCATCATCAGTTCCTTTTATTAACAGTCACTCTGCTCTTACCCAGAGTTTGATCTACGGTTCACACCAATGAACTTACCTGACTCACCCATTGCTACTTACCTGTTTGCTGTTGTTGGTTCTTTGTGTCCTGGTGCCTTTGTCTCCTGGTCTCATTGTTTTCTGTGTTCTCCTAGATTAATACCACTACCTGCACACAAAGACTCTAAAATAAGCAACAGGCCAATAATGATTACCTGCTCCACTCAGTGCGATGTTCAGACCTAACTTTGTTAACCGCATCAGCTAAACTCTCCCACTCTATTTTTTTCTTTTGTTATTAATTCTGGAGGACAAACTTGCAAATAAAACAGTTTTTCTCTGGTCTACCTCCGAAAACAGCACCTCACATTCACATTCTGTTCAAAGTTCCTCTTTTTGCTTCATTTTGCCGTTACTTTTTCGTTGGGTTTTGCCAAAGTAGAGTCATTAGCATATTCATACGGGGGAGGAGGCAGGGAGGGGTTTTGTGCTCGTGCATGTTGCGCTCAGTTTCACGTTCATTCAGATGTACAAACAGAATATGCGCGAGATTTGGCGTACGCAGTGTTTCATACATCTGAATTTTTTTCTGTGTTTTAGTATGATTTCCACGCAAGTCTTCGTACATGAGGCCCCTGGTCTCTTGATTTATCCTGTCTCCAGTCTCACTGTGTGCATGACTACAGCAATGACACCCAGTTTTTTTTCCCAAGTAATGTGTACCATTTTCCACCTTTCCCATCATTTCCCTTCAGTTGAAGAACATTGAGAATTTAATAAGATCATAACTAATGAGAATGTTTAAAATAATACTTTTAATTGTCACTTATTGTGCTGTGTGCTTTAAGAATATGTTGTCCTTAATGTTTTTTTTCGGGACTAAAAGCAAGCTGAAAAGAAAAGTGAATGATGTGTGTAAACAGCAGAAGTGATTTCCTCCATGTTTAGGCGAACACACTTTCACTTTCATGCAATGAAGATAATGCACAGAGGAAAGATGACTGTGGAGCTGCATTTTTCACTGGTGTCTAAACACCAAGAGCTGTATGATAAACACAACAGCAACAACAATGTCAGCAGGAGGACATTATTATGGAGAGTAGCAAACATGATTTAATACTGAGTTTCATTTCACTTTTCTTCCATGACATGTACAAGCCTTAACACTGACAATACATGACAATAAACCATACATTTGCTTTTATTTTACTATGTTTGTGGTCATTATTCCTTGCTAAGCACAAAACAAATAACACACATTACACATACAGTACCTGCTGAATTTGAAGGTGAGGCACCATTTCCAGTTGACTCAATCTCATTTTCAGACTCGGATCCATCACTGTCCAGCAAAAGTTTCTCTATAACAGATAAAATTATTAGGCAACAACTTTTGAATAACATTCAACAATTGTCTATAACTAATGCTGGTGTTCCCGGTAATAACCCGGGAATACTTTACCTTGGGGATCAATCTGGATTTCATCCAAATTCTGTCCTTTAAACTGTGAAAGCTGTCCTCGTTCCATGGCCATCAAGACTTTGCTAATTTTTGCTAGCTGCAATGTGCCTTCAGGAAGTCTGTAATATTGCCTGTGGACCCTGATGTCATGCCCTAAAAAATCTGCGAGGTTATCCATTTCATTCTCTTTTAAGTTTAGCACCTTGGACATAGTGGCCATGTGCTTTCGCAGTTTGGTGGAGGACAATGCCTCGGGGTGCTTTGCTCCACAGCTTTTTGCTATGTTACGAATGACGTCAGATCCTCTGAAGAAAGTGAGAGCTTGGGGTCTTCCGAACATAAAGACGTTCTCATCTGGCACATCACAGCTGCGGCGAGTCTTCACCAACAACTCCATTGAGACGACCATATCAGGAGTGAGTAAAATGGGGACTTTTCTGCCACGTTTTCCTCGGACTTCGATTCTTTGAAAATGACTACAAAGTGACTTCTCTAGATCGGACAGAGCAAGCTCAACATCCGGATGAGTTGAGGATGTGTCCCTTAATGTAAACGAATTAAGTGACATCTTAGACACCTCTCCTTCCCTTCTTCGATTAAATAGTATCACCTGACAAAGCGTGACTTTGGCAAGTTCTGCCCAGTGCTTCATACTTTGTTCTTCCTCAAGTCTTGCTTGATATGCCTTACTTTGGCAGTCAAGATACTGATGCATTTTCTTCACATCTTCCGCAAACGGAAGAAGCTGTGGACAGTTCCATTTAACTTCACTCAAATTACGAAGGGCCTGGGATGACACACACTCACTCCATTTAGTGTCACATATTTGCTTGAAGGCTTGCACGTTGCTAAGACTATTCTTATCATCTGCCATCATGGCATCACACTCAATAATGCTGGCCATCTTCTTGAGGTTGTGCCCTAACTTCAGTGCTAAAGATGGTGTTTTAAATGTGCTTGTCTCTTCGTTCAAGCCAGCTACACTGTGAACTGCTTGAATAACATAAGGGAAATTAGCTGGAATAAAGAAATCAGACACCTCCTTCAGCTTACCATTTTTTTTCCCTTCGAGGACAAGACGTCCAGTTTCACGCATTTTTTGCCTGATGTATTCATGCTTCGTAACATCATGGCCATGCTTATTGAAGAGATGTTGCCCTAATTTCAGTATGATTTTCTCTTTGCGGACAACATGGGTTATCTCATCGTCATGCATATCAAGCACCATTTTCCAAAACCTTTCACTTATACTGTCTGGAACAGGTTCAGCATATGAGCAAAGTGACTGAACACGAGTTTTCCCTGGCTTCATTTTGTTAATTTTCTGGCTCAGCTGGCATCTTTGCATATGCCGCCATAGCGATTTTCTTTTTAGATACGCTGAACAGTTAATGCAGTGCAAATAATCACTTGCATTTACTGGTGCAGTGGATTGTTGTTTAGGAATCACCGTTCCTCTTCCTTCACTGAGTACCTGAGCGTTATGACATCGGTTCCCCTTATTCCTTAACAAACTCAGCTGTATTTTTCGCTCTTTAGAGCCTTTCGGAAAAGCAATCGCTCTTGCCACCTCTGGCTTATCTTTATGTTTAGACTCTAGGTGACGTGCGATTTTACTGAATGGTTTGAAGCAGAATAGGCAGTAAAACTTTTTGTTATATAGTCTGGCTCCATCTTTTTTTTTTTTGAGCATCATGACATTCACATTAAGATTATTGGGTGAATGTGATTCTTCATGTTCTCCTGATGAAGAAGATTGAAGTGAACTGTCCTGTTTGTCAGATGCAGAGGATTGTGAAGGAGACGCACGTCTTTTTTTACATGCTGGAACATTTGAAGTTGACTTTACCTTTTTCTTATTATTACTTATCTTTTTTACTAAACTCTCTACTTTTTCTGAAGTGTTACTGTCAGACTCTTCAGTATCTGGCACGTAATCATCCTCACTGATATCTGATCTTGATGAAGATTCTTCTGAAGCATAACCAAGTATTTTCTTGTTAAGCTACAAATAAAAGCCACAAGTTAGAAATCAGAAGTGACAAGACCAACGACATCTTAAAATTATGTGTATATCTGCAGCCACTGAATCGCTGGTAGTCATGACAGGCTACCAGTTTGTAACATTTTAAAAATATATATCTTATTTTGTGCTAAAAAGAAAAAACTGTGTTTTCAACCTTTTGAGGCTAAGTAAATAGAAAACAAAAACAATTTTTGGGGTAAACTATAACTGTGGCTCACTGTCTAGACTGCATACTAAACACAGTGCTGAAATCTGGCACAGGTGCTCTAGTGCATGCTAACACACTACCAAATTTGGGGGCCAATTGCTGACTAGAGAGCACTGCAAACTGAAAATAACAAGTTTTGATGGCATGGTGAAAACACAAATCATACTTAACATAAGACTCACCAATCAAATTGAATCATTTTACACAACTAACCTTTGTTTCACACTTTGAAATCAAAAAATAAATTTTCTCGCGTTCCTCATTTAAAGTTTTTATATACGCCTTCATATAAAAATATTTAAATGCGTGTATGTGTGTGTGAGAGATCGACGAACGAGTGCTCACTTCACTGCTCTGCAGATGCTGTGAACGGCTGGGTATATTTATTTTGGAGATAATATAAAATATGTTACGTACATACGTTGCTGCTGTTACGTACAAATTACGTATCAACTCAACACAATAATATCATATTACATCTAGACAAAATAGCCTAAGCTATATTAAATTAATTTAAAGAAATATTGTATATAATAAAAACATTAAATAAATAAACCAATATAAAATAAAAGCTATATCAATTTAGGTATATATAATTCATATAAATTAATTGGTTTCAAGCCATTTTTAACTTTCATTTTACAAAGGCCTATCTGGAAAAAAAGATATTTTCTAAAAACAATAAACAATGGAGGAGTTTTGAAATATTATTTATAAAGTATTTGGAGATGATGATATTAATCAAATCGTGCAAACAGAGCATTTTTGGGTGAGCGAAAGCAAAACTACCTTCTTCTTGTTTTTTATTATGGCTGGTGCGCTCGGTCATCCCTCTGTTAGTGGCGAGACCACTCGATGCACGATGCCAGCAGTCGGCCAGCGAGTAAACTAATATAATGAATAAATATACATAGGCCTATGCGTATACATCATTTAATGCATTTAATAGGTTTGCATTCTGCACTGCGAGTCATTGGCCTGACAGTGGAAACGCGACATAATTTCAGCCTCACTGCTCAAGCTCTCGGACTATTGGCTCAGCCCGGCCCGATAAAAGCCCTGGCTCGCACTAGCCCAACAGTGGAAATGTATGGAGCTAGATTTGTTTCTTTATTATTCAATCAAAAATATTTAGTTTTAAAGTAAAATTAAGTATGTTGTAATTAAAGAATTAAAGATTTCAAATAAAAAACACGTTTATTTAAAAAACTTATGTCAATGATAATAAAATATTTTGGATTGCAAAAATAAACACTTGTCCTATTATGCAGTTACCACAATTTTCATTGCATACTCATTAATTTTGCTCTCTTTTCTGCTGTCTTTTATTGCACATCTAGAATCTTTGCTTGCAGGTTGAAATATTTTGCTTGTGAGTTGAAAAGTTTTGAACCCTTGAATGCCGGGGTTAAATTTGTGTCTTTATTACTCAAACAAACATATGAAGTTTGACCAAAACTAGGTAGAATGCAATTAAAAAATTAAAGATTTAAAATAATAAAAAAACATTTATTTAAAAAAATTCACACTACAAAAAATAAACTATTGCCATGTTATGCGGTTACCACCAGATTAATGCACTGTGTGCTCATTTATTTTGCTTTCGGTTTTGTTTCATTTTTTGCTAATCTAAAATCTTTGCTTTTGAGTTAAAAAGTTTTGCGAGTTGAAAACTGCAGCTCAGTGGGCGGGATCTTCTGAAACACCTTATTCTATTAGTCATCTTGATTGAGGTCACCGGTTGGCCACGCCCATTACATTTTCGCGCGGTTGGAATGGACTGCCTTGCCTTCTGTGACAGGAGCGAGCTATGGCGAGCAGCAGGTCTTCTTCAAGGTAGGTTAACTGAAACTGTATAATAACTTGTGTATTACCATACATATTTCCCATCTAAATATGTTACGACTGCTAGTATTAAACTCTGTCTAGTCAGTGATATTTTTGAATTCTCTCGATAAACTAACATTAGCTGTCGGCCATCAGTACTGTACAGTTGTAAAGGGCAACGCAAGGCCAGAGTAATTTGGAAAATATACATTGATGTATTATTAAAGTCAGGCTTTTTGTCTGTAGATGATGGCCAGGTGTACAGTAGGTCTGCAAACAGACTGGGATACATTCTCGGCAACCCATTAATCTTCAGTTAGTTTCCAGACAAAAGCTACTGTGTCTTTGAACTGGAGCATCATATTTATTCTCCACTGTTAGAAAATGTAGTAACTCAGTGTATGTATATTTCATTACAAACGTGACAAATATTTATTTAGTATATTTCGTTTCGCATATAAATGTTAGTTCATACATTAGTTAACTTGAATTAATTATGAACAGGATATCTGTTAAGCAATAATTAATCTTTGTTAATGTTAACTAAACATATTAATGCATAAGTTAAAAAATGATGGTGAACGAGTTTGTTTAGCATAAACTTTGGTAACGTTAACTTAGTCATGTTCTATTGTATCTCCTTATATTAACAGCTTGATGTTATTAGCCAATGTTTATGGACAAATACAATAATGTATTTGTTCACTGACTAGATAACATAACTAAATAAACAGCATTTATTCAGTAATACTACATTTTTGTTAACGGAAACTTATACAAATAGTAATGTCACTTAATGCAGCAAATACTGAACAACTCACATTCTTCAACAGGCATGTCATTCATGTTTGTAGACTTTTTACTAACATGATTTATCTCTAGCAAAGCATTAGTTGAGGGAATTAGGAACATTGTTGTAAAATGTGCACTACTTCAACACGCTACATTTGTAAACTGACTTACCACTAACCCAACATTATAACTGATGTGTTACTAACATCTTTGGGTTTATTACAAAGCAGTAATTAATGATTTTACTGGATATATATATATATATATATATATATATATATATATATATATATATATATATATATATATATATATATATATATATATACATACACATATATATATACATACACATATATATATATACATACACATATATATATATATCAGGAACAATTATGTTAGTAAAGAATTAACGTTAGAGAGGTGCACACTTCATAATAAGCTTTCTGATTTCCTTAAAAAATGCTCAGTTACTGAGTGATAAACCATGTTAGTAAAGAGTTTGCAAATGTTAGTAACACAATATACAATGTTGAAGTCGTTTTGAAAAGTAACAGGGCAGTTTGCAGGTTATCTTCGCTATATAATTTGTTTAGGCATTATTGCAAATATTTGGTCTTTAAAGGAACTGGTATAAATCAGTTGTAAAGTAATAAATGTATTTATAAAACAACAATACATAGACACGAGAGATATGTGGATTATAAATATTACATTAATCAGAACAATTTTCTCATCTGTTTCTTCGATTTATTCTTACAGGTTGATCACTCAGTCTTAGCGGGCGTAAAACATCTGCTTTGACTCCTCCGATGTCCACATCTGGGCTGACTCCACAGACGTTTACATCTACACTGTCTTAAATCAACGAATCAACATCCACAATGATTCCACAGGCGTCTCCATCTGCATTGTCTACTTAGACATCAACATCTGCACTGACTGACCAGACATTTATTCACTAAACTCTTCAATCACCACCTGATGTGTGTTGAATTATTTTCTGGAATTGTGTCGGATTTGGACAATAGTAGATTTTGACTTTTTATAAGTGATTTTAAATGTATTTTTTTATACATTTATTGTTTCCCTTTCTGGAATTTATTTTGCATTGAAGAAATATAAATGTTTTATTTTATTTTATTAATTCAGCTAAAATATTTCCCAGCTGTAGCTTTTAATAACAAAAATACTGTTACATAAATGGTATAATACACTTTACTGCAGTATAGTAAAGCACTATAGCATGTGTCTGTATAAATTATATTTTTATGCGGAAGACATGTGTAGAAGATACATTTATTTAGTAGTGCATTTGCCAACATATACGTATTTTTTATACGGTATACGGTTTAAGTAATAATACAGTAGTAGTAGGGATGTTAAAAAATGCCTGTCAGCTATAATTTAACATAAAATCGTGGCAGCGACCTAAATCTACCTTTTAAAAATGAGTTTACAGTCCATCTCATGTATATATATATAACGTTTTCACGCGATTGTACTGGACTCCTTTAGTGACCAGAGCGAGCAACAGGTCTTCTTCAAGGTAAGTTAACTGAAACTGTATAATAACTTGTATATTACCATCCACATTTTCCTAAACTCTGTCTAGTCAGTGATATTGATGAATACTCTCGATTGACTAACATTAGATGAAATATGTGCAAGATATATATATATATATATATATATATTAGATATATATATATATATATATATATATATATATATATATATAAATAAAACAATACATGTGTTCAAAAGTATGTGCACAGCTGAGACGTGCACAACTGTGTTCTCCATCGCATCTGCATCCAGATTATATTGGTGGACTTACAGCTAATCTGACTGGACAGAGTTTAATACTAGCAGTCGTAACATATTTAGATGGGAAATATGTATGGTAATACACAAGTTATTATACAGTTTCAGTTAACCTACCTTGAAGAAGACCTGCTGCTCGCCATAGCTCGCTCCTGTCACAGAAGGCAAGGCAGTCCATTCCAACCGCTCGAAAATGTAATGGGCGTGGCCAACCGGTGACCTCAATCAAGATGACTAATAGAATAAGGTGTTTCAGAAGATCCCGCCCACTGAGCTGCAGTTTTCAACTCGCAAAACTTTTTAACTCAAAAGCAAAAATTTTAGATTAGCAAAAAATGAAACAAAACCAAAAGCAAAATAAATGAGCACACAATGCATTAATTTGGTGGTAACCGCATAACATGGCAATAGTTTATTTTTTGTAGTGTGAATTTTTTTAAATAAATGTTTTTTTATTATTTTAAATCTTTAATTTTTTAATTGCATTCTACCTAGTTTTGGTCAAACTTCATATGTTTGTTTGAGTAATAAAGACACAAATTTAACCCCGGCATTCAAGGGTTCAAAACTTTTCAACTCACAAGCAAAATATTTCAACCTGCAAGCAAAGATTCTAGATGTGCAATAAAAGACAGCAGAAAAGAGAGCAAAATTAATGAGTATGCAATGAAAATTGTGGTAACTGCATAATAGGACAAGTGTTTATTTTTGCAATCCAAAATATTTTATTATCATTGACATAAGTTTTTTAAATAAACGTGTTTTTTATTTGAAATCTTTAATTCTTTAATTACAACATACTTAATTTTACTTTAAAACTAAATATTTTTGATTGAATAATAAAAAAACAAATCTAGCTCCATAGAAATGCGGCTAATGACTTGTGATGGCTTTGGAGAGTTTAGATGTTGAAAAATACAGTTCTATGAATCACTAGTGGCTGCTTACCTTTGTCTCTTCTTTAGCACAAGCTGTCACCTCATCCACTGCAAATTCTGTCACAGAAGACAGGAATGTTATTCAGGTTGACAATGAACAATGCCAATATGGCTGTTCATACTAAAGTAAAACATTCCTTTCAGTAAAACTTCAATACATTTTTTGTTTGTTTCCTTGTACTAGTTACAGTTCTAAAACCCTTAAAATAAATATCACTATAGGATAACAAATCCAGAAGACTTAGCAAAAGCCTTATCAACAACACACAGAACACTTAAAAAATAATGTCTATGTTTAGTTAACCATTAAAATAATGCAGGATTATGCTGGATATTTCTTTTTTTAAAGGTTGTGCTCTAACAAAGTTAAACTCAGGTTAGTCTGGCTCAAAAAGTGGAGTATGATTCTTATATGTAAGGATTATTTTGAGTACTAGCTAACAGGACAATTCATGATCTTAACGTTACCTGTGCATCCAGAGTATCTGTCACTTTTATCGCCCTGCAAGCACAAGTGTGATAATCAGTCAAACATCATGCTCTAACATTACCTTATACTGTCATTACAACTGCAATACTGTAGTATAATTTGACAATAATTAAATATTCAACACTGTGAAATAAGACTAGACATATTTATGACATTTGACTGAAAATTAGCATTTTTTAAATCTAGAAAACTCCCTTATAAAACTAGAAATATTGTACTGAATTAATTTAAATTGTCTCTTGCATTACTGAAGAACAACATTCCTATTTTTGTGGATAAAAGTAAATAGATTTTGCCTGGCCAGAGGCCTGCTGCACGTGCAGGTCGCTAACGTTAACAATAACAAAAATTATCAAAACATCTTGGTAAAAATATGCAGTCTGGCAAGAACATGAATTCAAACAATATTTCAAAAGTAAACGAAGATTACACGTAAATGTACGCAAATATAGTAAACGTTTAATGTACAGTTAAATTGCAAAATCTCTTAAGCAATTCCAACGTTTGGCTTAAAACGCGATCGTAAGAATCTAACTTTAACGTTACAGTTAAAGTTACCCTAACTAATATTATTGTCAGCTTGATACATTAATCTGTACTTTCTGCAAAGCAGCTTCGAGATTATGCCGATTATCAAAAGCGCTTGAGACATAAAATAACGCGATTTTTATGATATAATATAGTTGCAAACAATACATAAACATAAACATTCGAATATATTGAAGTGATCGTACAAATCATAAACTTACCTGTCCTTCAGACATGTTGACGTCTTCGCGCCTTTACTCACAGCATCCTCTCTGACCCTGTCCTGCTGTGTCGCAGGTGTGTGTGTGTGGGGGGGAGGGGATGGTCGCGGTGGGGACGCAAAATCTCCGGTCACGTGTAATGTCACACACTCTCCCGCGCTGCTTTAGCGCGGGTCGCCGACTGAACCGCGGTCTGGCGCATGCATACACAGCGGATGGCCTTCAGCAGCAATCCAGCACTGACAGCTCTAATGTGTCAGTCGAACTTTTACTCGAAATTATTCAGCTTATTACCCGAACATATTTGCTCTAACTAAATAAATGCATTATGGTTAAAGGGAATTTTAATAGCTTAACGAAAAAAAGTTATAATTAAGATACAAAGAACCCCCTTATTATTAAATGCTGTATTCTGACAACACATAAATAAATGGATCCCATTTAGAACTATTAAAGAATTCACAAAAAAAAAATTCATTAACTATTACAAACACTTGTAATAAATAAAGGCATTCAATCCTGCTGTCAGGGTGTAAATAATACAACATGTGTTTTATTATGTTTCCATTCATTCATTCATTCATGTTTAGTCCCTGATTGGGGTCGCCATAGCGGAATAAACTGCCATTATGTGTCCATTATGTTTTATTATAATACCAACATTTGGTAATTTAACATTTTGGACCACATAAATGTATTAGATGTGATGCATTGACCATGCACACCTACATACATCCATTACTTTATTATTAAAAGGGAATAAACTACTTTTTATTACAACTTATCTGAACATCATTATCAAAACTCTTTAATATGTCCAGTCAATTTAATATGAGCATGTAATACCATCTAACTACATCTTTATGGTATTCTTTAAGGCAAACAGGCCTAAATAAAT